AATTGTTAGTTTTCACCAAAGCCTCCTCTTCTTCACACTCCTCCTTCTCCTTTTGGTTTACTTCCAACTCCTTCGTCACCTTCGAAGACTCTCATTCAATTTCTTTTTGCAGCTCTACTTCTCCTTTTAAAATTTCACCCTCAATTTCTTTTTCACTATCTTGTGGCATTTCCTCTTTTTCCTCAAATTCAACAACCTCACTATTTTCCCTCTTGCTCTTTTGTTCCTCCACGTGATTAATTTGAGATTTAATCAGATCATGAATTTTTGATAACTTACGTTTATAATCCAATTTACCCCCAACATGCTTTACAATTGATGTTCAACTTTCCACTAGATACACATCCCCATCACATCTCCTAGGCTTCTCCCTAAGATCTCGTTCATGCCGATCCCTCCAATAAAAATAATTATGCGCATATCGCTTGCTCATAATATTCTTTAACCCAGCCCAAGTTTCAATACACCTCTCACCATTCTTCCGCCTAGATTTTATTAACTGATCCCACCAAACAATTGCGTAATCCACAAATGTGTTCACAGCCAACTTCAATTTTATCCCCCGGAATAATCATAGCATTTAAACACTACTTCTACCTTTTCTTCCCATACCAAGCATGCCTTGGGATCGTTGCTTCCCTTAAATTGTGAAATTGTCAACTTCATATTTCTCAAACTCCTATCAACACTGTCCCCAATAAAATTTCTACTCTTCCTTTCAAGTCTATCCATTCTATTTCCCATATCCTCCATATCCACCAACAACCTCTTCAATCGCCGAACCACCCCTTCATTCATATTGACTTAAACTCCAATTGGGATGTGTGAAAATTGGGATTCAAAGACTCAAAAGAAATTTGAACTGGACAACTTTGGTTTGGCTTTTATAAATTCAAGAGAGTGGTTCGTGAATTTGGATTGGAATGAAAGAAAAAGATTTTTGGAATTGGATTTGATATTAGGATATTGAACTATTTTCAAGAAATTAAAATTTTTTTTCGGACTTTAGGATGAACAGTGCCATACGGAAGAACAGTATTTTTTTTTTTCCAGACTTAAGAATCAACTACAATAACAAAGAAACAGATAGAAGTTGATTTGGACTCAAATTGAGCACAAAAACAACTTTTGAATTTTTTTGGATTAAAGACTCAAAATATTACTGGATACAAGAACACGAATAACGAATGACAAAGGAAAAAAAAGACTCAAAGAGATAAACTATGATATAACCTGATTAAATTGGAGCCAAAGCTCTGATACCAACTGATGCGAACCCCGTAGCAACGGTAACTGCGAAACCCACAACTAGATTGATGCGGAACCCAAGAACGCCAATTAATCCCAGTTATGGATTTGAACTCAACAAGGTGAACAAAAAAATTCAACAATAACGACGATGCGTTGAACCCCTTGATTACACAATGAAGAACCCACAATCCAATGTTTGAACGCCACAAGAATCATTTAGATCTTGATAAGTTCGGTATGTCCATGGAAGAACACAATTTTTGAAGCAAAGGTTCGAGAGAAAATTCTCTTCAATTTAATTCATGTCAAACTTAACATCCAATAAAATAATAAAATTCCTATTTATAATAAACCTAGGAAATATAGGAAAAACGTGAATAATTGATAAAGATTACAAAAATCTTACCTAAACTAGAATTCTAGCAAAAATAAGGAAATTCGCGTCAAAACAGTTTTCCACACCCGGACAGCTTTCAGTATTTCGGTCATATCTTCCTCTCCGGCTATTCAATTGAGGTGATTCAAAATGAGTTGGAAAGATTACTTCAAGGGATACAAATCTTCTGGAAATACAAATCTTCAAATTCAAAAGTATTCTATGCCAAAATTGGGTCTCAAACTGAGACTAAAAAT